CTTCCTTCCTTCCTTCCTTCCTTCCTTCCTTCCTTCCTTCCTTCCTTCCTTCCTTCCTTCCTTCCTTCCTTCCTCCTCCTCCTCCTTTCTTTTCTCCTCCTCCTCCTCCTCCTTTCCAGTCTGGCCTACTTCTCTGGAATTCCCTGCAGGCTCCCTCATCCAAGAACTCAGGAGGTCCCACCCCTTTAGCTTTTCAAGTTATCTGAAAGAAACGGTTGTAGTGTGAGGTGCTCCTTTTCATCCTAATCTCTGCTGCCTCCCTCCCTTGCAGCACTAGCTATTTTGTGACCAGGGATCACCGTCAGTCCTAATCAGGCTTTTAGGGGTAGGATTCTTCCCTCTTATTATTTTTTCTAAAGAGGAGAAAACTGTATGCAGTACAATACCAATCAAAGTGGGTGGATAATTGCATTAGATAACGTTTAACCACTAAGTGGCATCAGATTTTGTTGGTTTGGGAATGGGTGACTGGATAGAGAAGAAGTGTCCTGTGTAGACTTTTTAAAGAAATATAATATAGGTTCCTCGCAGGTGTTTCCTAGCATCTCCAGGTAGTTGGGGAAACAGCACTTTAGGGTCATGTGAAAAGAAGAAAGCAAATACTTTGGCATAGAAATAAATGGTTAGAAGACAAGAGCTCAAGCAGAGTCAGGTAACATTTTGAAAGAGCCAGGACATTTTTCGGGAGCAGCTCTCCGTGGTACTAAAAGCACATAAAGATCATTGTACAGGCCATTACCCAAAGAGGCAGGGAACCTCTCCTGGTTCCCCCCTAAAATAATACAAATATATTTTCAGCTCTAGGCTACCCATCTGTATAATGTTGAAGTGCTCTGGGGTGACCTCTTGGGTTGACGGTGACTCTCCATTTACCTTGTCTTCTCTTGTTTGTCTTCCTCGTATCAGCCGGGATGATGTCATTGGGAAAGTGCGCATCCCCCAAACTTTGTTGGCCGAGCATCCGAAAGGTGAGATCCCCTCTTGGCTGAGAAAGACATCTATTCTTTTGAACGAGTAAATGGAATGGATGCAGAAATGGGCATGTTCTTTCTTTTCCCCTTCTGAATCCACTATTTGTGCTGTTTCCTGTGCAGGTATCGAATTTCTAAAAGCCAAATGATCCATACCTTCCCTTTGCAAGCACCAAATCTAATTGATTTGCCCTGATAAAGAGGCAGGCTGAATATGCTTGGAGGAACCCATCTCATCTCACTTCATCCATGGGTGTCATGGTTAAGGCCGGCAGAAGAGGTTTTTAGCTCAGAAGAGGAGAAAGAGACATAGCTTTTGTCAGCACCCAGATTTATTGGATGAGTTCACACAACTTGCTAAACCCAAGCTAATCAAACAAAACTGCTGTATCACAGAACACATTGTGCTCCATATTATACCTTCATTTGATGTTCTGGTTCGCCTTTTGTGTTAAGCTAATGGTTGGGTTCCCACAATACTCTGAACACAAAACCCCACTTTAAGCCTTGTTGTGTGAATCTAGCCTTATGGTATCATCTCCTGCTTATTGTTTAGACCAGTGTTACTCAACCTTGGCAGCTT